CTTCTTCAAAGTGCTTGTCTATTACGACATTTATCCAAGCATTTATGAGAATGTCCAACAATTCCTTTAAAATCACTTAGTTTCAAACTATTAGAAGCTTCACTGATCCGAGTCATCAACGTTTCCTTCTCAAGAAATTTGTTTCATTTCACTTTACTCTTGACCACCGACCAGAATTGTTCAATTGGGTTGAGCTCAGGGGAATAAGGAGGCAAGTAAGCGCAGCGATAACCGCGAGATTCTATGTATTTGGCTATGTCCTCGGATGTATGGATAGGAGCATTATCCATCACGAGGTAGTGGCCTTTCATGTGTGGATACTGGTCCATTTCATCCATTGTAACTTTTAGAAAGCTAATATAGTGTCCGATAGCCGTTCCTTTGCTCACATATCCAATACCATCACCTCTCTTTCTCTTTTTACTGGACGGAGGCTGAGGAAGCTGAAGACTACATTTTATTAAACCTTCAGCAGAAATTGCGCCTAGAATGGTTGTAGTTGTTGCTCGTGTTTTGGGAACTGTAACCACTGCAGGGGAACCTTTCTTTGACCATGCCATACTACGTTTCAGATTAATATGGAAAGCAGATTCGTCAAGAAAGACACAATTTTTTGTAAAATCCATATCTGTTTTATCCCATTTACGAATCCAATCCAAGCGCTCTTGAATCTTTTCTTCGCTGTTTCGGTCTATGGGCTGAAGCCGAGCTTTTTTAAGAGACAAATTGCAATGGCTTTTTACAAAATCGAACAAAGTAGTTTTGGATACTTTTAATTCTGTAAATGTTTGCTTTAACTTTTTCATTATTTCGTCTAAGACGACGGAAGGATTCTCATCTATACACTCGAGAATAGTATTTTTGTGTTCCTCATGGAGAATACGTGGGCGGCCAGTTTTTCTCCGTTTCTCAAAGATGCTGTCAGGATCCTTCTCGTATTGTGCAGCCCATTTTTGTCCTGTATGAACGTGAATCCCTAGCTGTTTTGCTGCAGCTGCAGCACTCAGACATCTCTCAAATAACAGTTTGAAGAACCTCACTTTGTCCTGATCAGAGTAGTGGGTGTAGCTTCGTTTCATTGATGTTTCTTTCATTTTAACGTCGTTACTAGGTTTCACCTTTTCGATCTGCATTGTCTCTATCATTTTCTCGCTCTCCAAATGCAGTTGATCTAAATATTGTGTATGAGAACTCAACGTTTCGAGTCGAAACTGCTCCTCATCAACAATATAATCCATTGGCTCAGGCCTGCCGTACTCATCGACAGCAGAACCTTTTCCATTTTCATACAAAAACTGAATGTTCATTGTCATATAATTTCTGGTGTAATTGTGAAAAAGAAATAAAAAAGAAGATAGCATTTGGGGTGCATTTATATACCCAAATATGCCAAGACTTGTACTACAAAATAATTTTGGCAACACGGGCATCCGAGGGCGAATTTATATTTTATACAACATGAATTTTGTTCTCGTCTTCGAATGAATTCATTTTTGTGCAACCTGAATTTTGTTCTCGATTCAGTGTGCATTTGTTTTCGACCGATGACGAATCTACTTTCCGAAAAGAGTGTAAATTGGAATTTAATCGCTTGGAGATTATCGAGCACAAGAGGGAAGAATATGGTCTTGCAAAAGATACTCAAGGATTCTTGAACAAACAGACTCGACATAATACAAGCAAATTCTATGGATATGGGTAACATGTCTTCGCCAACTGGTGCCACAACAACCAGCTGGATCCTAGAGCATACGATCCAAAAACCGTGCTAAGGTTCCTGGTAGATCATAATCATCTATCATATCAACGTCTGTACGTAATTAGGTCTGCCATCAACTCGATGTACAGCGTCTTATACTCGCAACACTTGGTAATATCTCAGCATCCGTTAATTCTGCAATTCTTCAAAGCCAGGCGAAAAATCCAATTACCGTATTCCAGAGTTACACGATTTAGAAACTTGGAACTTACAACTGTTGACTCACCTAATCAAAAAGTGTGGAAACAATGAAGATCTTTCTCTCAAGACACTTCAGCAGAAGACCCTGCCCCTACTAGGGATTACAACAATGCGGCAGCCACGTTCGGACTTCGGGCGTTTACAATATCAGGACGTGCAGTTCCAGTTCAATCAGGAGAAACCATTTGGCGTTACCTTACTCTCACAAAAACCCAAGGAAGTATAATTCCCATTCACTGATATCAATCCCTAGCATGTACGCAGCGCAAAGTGGCAACACTATCGATAAGACTAAGCAACATGCCCATTGGCCTCATCAATCGGACGCTTTCGAACAGTTCTATTTGAAGCCTTTCAACTCACACGCGGAAAGCTCAAGGGTCACAATTTAATTTTTCTTCATCTGAGGACCATACCACCACATCGTGTGAAAAGAAGGTAATAGTGATTGACTTACAACGGACGAACATTTTAGATTGTACACATATGTGAAAAAAAAGCTCGCATACTTTTTTTTCTTTATTATCTTAAACTCATTTAGAGGACATACAAGACAATGCTTATGACGGAAAGAGCTTTGAGTCAGTTGAGGTGGATATCGACAACTCTATTTCTGTGAGCGTGCAGTCTATTTCCGAAAAGGTACAAGCCTTTGAAATCATTATGTTTGTACAGCGGATTCGCTTTCTTAGCTTGCGTCCACCTAAGGTCCACCTTTTCTTTGTATTTTTAGCTAGTGTCCACCTCGGGCCCACCCTGTCTACTTGATGTCCTCAAACTCAGGAATAATGATCACACACTAACAAGCAACTTGTGTATTCTTTGGTGACATATTGACTCCTGAAAACGAAGCCCTGAATGGAGCAAAAATTGCAATGTGTCCAGACGTTGGATTGTGCTACATCGACGTGCCGACGGAGCCATATCTTGTAGCAAGTAATCGAATCAACGTTTTCCCTTTCAGTTACAAACAATACTGTTGTGCAGAACTGGGCCCACCATCTAGAAGAAGGAAATGAAGAAATAGAATGTGAAACTAATGACAAAGTTATCCGTAAGCATTGCTCCTGTTTTCTTGCTTATTCGTTACAGTCCATAAACTAGCGTCACAGCTTTTAGATTCTGAATCACATCTTGTCGAGCTCGTAAACAACATCTTTCTCATAAACGATCCACAAAATGAAAAGGTGTACGAACGTCTGGATATGTCATCAGAGGAGATTTTCACAATCACAAAACAGTATACAAGCTTGTATCAAGATGGGAACACCCGATCATTTGCCCAGTTTGCCAAAAAATGTGATGCCAAATATTTGGACGCACAGGTATCAAAAAAAACGCAACAAAGGTGGTCGAGTTAAGCGCAAAATCTTATTTGTAATGAAAGAGGAGGACAGAGGTATGTAGTACGATAAAAAAATGTACCAAAACCTAACCTAGAGCTATCCAGTTCACTCTCTCTTATATAAAATACGAATTTATCATAATTACACGTGATTGATCTTGGTTCTTTATTGATCAAACTGACAAGATAAAACTAAAACTAAAACAAAAAATAACAACAATTCTTTTTTATCTCTTTCTCCTTGAAAAGAAGAAACCGATATGACGTTTTTATAAAAGTCATGTTTAGTTTGACTCTGCAGATTGAAAAGCTTTGTTGGTCTACATCATAGAGACGGCACCCGTAGAACTAGTTTAGCTTCTGGTGCATTTCCTGGTGCATGTAGTGTTTCCCAAAAGAATTGAATTGTATTATAGCTAGCATTGAAAGCTATGGGAGAAGAAAGGAAAAATGAAGCGTGGCTTTGCAAGCATCTATCAAATTGGAAGCTAGAGCGGAAGCACTCAAGATTGTTATAGGCATTTGATGAACACAACTCCGTATTGACATTATGCAATGAAGCTTTTTTAGTGCACAATATTGCTAACTATCAAAGTAAATACGAGCGCTTCATCGACAAGTTAAAGAAATATGGCTTCAAAGTCGTAGTATATGTAAGAAAAAGCCCATGTAAACTGTCGAATGATGCCTTAATGGATAAGCTTCAAAAAAGGATCGAATATTTGAAGGAAAGGTCGCTTATTGAATTTGCATAGGTTTCTTCACGAAGCTGTGCCGGAAGCCCTATTGACTCCAGAGACATGTCTAATACTGTTGAAGAGCTTGAGAAAATGGAGTTGTGGCATTGTGCTGGGAGCACACAAAGTAAGTTTTAGAGAAATGGAATGTTGGAAGAACAATAAAAAGGAACTGCATAGTGGATTAATTTTTGATTTTATATAGCTCTTTTATCAAAGTTATCAGCAAATAGTAAAAAAGTATGCCTTATAATCGTCGATTACGCAGCACTTTTCACGAATGCCGATTATATCAGAACTTTGGTCAAGTAAATTATATAGCGTCATGATTCTTGATTATTAGTCGTGTATTAACACTCCAACAGTAATTATAATTCTTTAGAATGCATTGTGGTCGATCGGTTTCACGAAACTGGAAAGTATGAAGTACACAGTCGCGATAAAATACTCAACAACAACAACTATTTGAAGTCTTTTGCGTGCCGTGAAGTCCCTTCCCGTCGTTCTAAATGATACCTACGTTTACGTAGTGGGGAAATCACGGTCAATAGCCCCTCTCATTCTTTTCCTTTGGATTATGCATTGTCTTATCTTACATTATTTTATTAAAAGCGCCCAGCACACTCTTGTCAGTCTTTCTTGTATTCCTCTTTTTTTTTTTTTCCTATTTTAATCCATCATTACCTTCTCCTTACTTATATATTATACACATTCTGTCAACTTTGCTTCTTATGTGTTTTATTTCTTAAATCATAAGCCGCTTTTTTCTACTTTCTGTATATGCTGGGATGTGAACGCTATAAGTGAGTGTTTTTATCTATAAATCGCTTCAAAATATTTTAACTTATTGTATGCTATGGCCACCTTCTCTATGCAGCAGCAACATATACACCTCTATGTCTTCATTTGTCTAATGAAGGAATAATTTTCAGTATATATGACTAGTGGCTGTATAATTCTCTTAGCAGAAGTTTTCGCCTCCCATGAAATTTACGCCATAAAACAAAATTACAAACATATGGTACACTGGTGTGGAAATTTTAATACTAGTATTGAAAACCAAAATGCTGTCGAAGTAAAGGCTGAAAATGTGGCAAGTGCCCACACATCATGGCTGACACAGCTCAAAAACTTATTTTAATTTAGTTTAGTTAGTAGACTCGCCATTAAAAATGGCCAACACTACATGCGCCAGAAAATAGGCTAATGCTACGGGCGCTTAATTGGGGCGCTACCTATGTTGTCACTACACCTTCACACTACGATGAATAATTATTTTTTTGTAGCTGCTCACAGCAAAATGTTTTTGGAGTTGTCCGTTTCATTAAACCAATCCAACATCAGTAGCAATGGCAGAAACAACAATTACACGTGGACAAGCGCCTTGCATATTTTATGGCAAACTCGTCAATGAAGAAAACGAAAAGGAATGAGAGAAACGAGTTGATGACCTTATAGAATTCGACATTTGCTATTTAGAAAGCGTACCTTCCGAACCTTTCTTTATTGCCAAAGTCCAAATGAAAAGATTCCCAGATCGTTACAAGTCGTATCCTCGAATGACATCAATTCATTGACTTATCCTAGTTTATCGAGAGATAGGGTTCAGCTGACAGCTGCATTCTGTCCAATGCCAGCACCAGCTTTGTAGTCTTTTTTCCGTAAAATCAATTTTTACTAAATAGAATCTTATATCATCACAACATTATCAATAAATATTCATTGCTTTATTCGTCGTAAATAAAGATATCATATATTTAACTCTCATCGACTTATTGCACTTTTTTATTTTTTTATTGTTCGTCTTTGTCTCCTACCTTTTTACTTGGCAAAACATATAATCTTTTTTAAACAAAACCTTTATACGTTTGGTAACCCGAAGTGGGCCCAAAGTGGGCCTTATGTGGACCCGAGGTGGACACTAGCTAAAAATACAAAGAAAAGGTGGACTTTAGGTGGACGCAAGCTAAGAAAGCGAATCCGCTGTACAAACATAATGATTTCAAAGGCTTGTACCTTTTCGGAAATAGACTGCACGCTCACAGAAATAGAGTTGTCGATATCCACCTCAACTGACTCAAAGCTCTTTCCGTCATAAGCATTGTCTTGTATGTCCTCTAAATGAGTTTAAGATAATAAAGAAAAAAAAGTATGCGAGCTTTATTTCACATATGTGTGCAATCTAAATTTAGATTTCAGAGTACCTTTTCTAAGTTTTTGCAACTATATTCAAGAACCAGATAGACTTTATTCACAACAATTCTGCTGATAAACCCCTTCTAGCTTACGATGAAAGTGTAGACGAAATGAGCTTCGACGGTTTCGCTATTCAATACGGCGAGATCAAAATGCTAGTTGACATTGACTCCGTTCCTGGGCCCAAGCTATAACCTGTCAGGATGGAAATTGTAGTAGACAGCCTTGTTGAGGACTTTAAGGAAGTTATCATCGCGACACCTAAGAATTACAAAAAGTATGACGAAGACCAAATTGTTCACTTTATCAGCATAATACAAGTGGAGGGATTGATTGTAGCCAATGCAGCAGAACAATGCGGCATATCTCGTAGTTCTGCCTACAAGCTTCTGAATGAGTTTAACGACGGCTTCTTTTCGGTTCTCCATGGAGCAGTAAAGAAGAAGCTCAAGCGTGAGCCCAAAAACTATTTTGCGAACGCTCGACCTTTTTGATTAAGATCTTCGAAGAAAACCCTTCACTTGTCCTTATTGAAGCAAAGCAGCAGCTTCGCGAACATTTTGTTGGCTTTGAAATATCTGTTAATGGACTTTATAAGCAGATTCGTGAGAAATACGCAATCTCGTTGAAGCAGACAACGAAATATACCTTGGGACGAGACGTCCCAAGAACCATTGAGGTGCGCTTCAATATCAACTCTCATTGGGAAGCTGCAGAAGTCAACTTTCAGGAAAGCTGTGTGTTTGTTAATGAGGCAGGTTTCCACTTACAACTGATGAGAGGCCGCGCTTGGCTAAGGTAGATGATCCTGCAAAAGTGAAAGAATACACCCAAAAGGGTATAAATATTAGCAATGTTGGCTTTTGGAAAAGTCTGTTGTTCCAAGGCTGAGCCGCTCAAGAAAAATGACGTCGCCAAGATCGAGAGGGGCTTACAGAGGCGGCCTCCTCAAAGAAGAGAAAGGCTGGTGCTCAAGGCAACGCAAAGTCAGTACAGTTAAAGAAAGGTACTACGGCTTACCAAATTATGAAGCTTATGGAGTCAGGTATGGACATCCTTGATAGTCATGGTATGAAGAAGACGCTTATAGTTATGAACAATTGTAGAATTCACCGCTCCCGTTTTTTTGTGGATGCCATTAACAAGTGTGGCTATAATTCATTATTCATGCCACCCTACTCTCCTTTTGTAAACCTCACCGAAGAGCGTTAGTCAAAGTTCACGAAGGATATCAGACAAAATCTTCTTGACAAAAAAGACCAGATTACACCCCCATATTGCCAAGACTTGTGCACAGATTACCAAGCCCTGCTACCAAAGTTGAAACAATACATAATAGGACCTATTGGGATAGATGTTTATAGAAAGAGATTGGCTTGAAGTAGTCTCAATCTCAAGTTTGAATGTTGTAGGAACTTAGCACAGTGTCGGTCATTCAATTACTGTTTGACAAGAAAGGATTGTCATTATGCAACCCTTTTAACAAGTAATAAGATAGATATCATTTCAATGTTCAGTTCTACAACCATTAATAAATCAATTTAAGAAAAGAAAAAGAAAAAGAAAAAAGAAGTAACCATGGCAATAAATTATAGAATGTACTTTATAAGCAACCATGGCCTAAAGAAAAAAAGAATCATCTTCATGTGGTAGACAAGGAGACAAAGTGTTTCAGCTTGGACGCATTCACCCTCAGCATAACAACAAGTGGCAGCAATACACGTGTATATAGTCTATATACTAAACCGACTGCAGTGCTATTTATATTTGAATATCGGATAAACATAGACACACGCTTTATTTAAGGGTTTACATAGTGCATTTGAACACAATACTCCTTTGAGGTCATATGTTACTGTGCTTAACATTTAAACAATCCTGCAGGGTCAATTCACAAACACAAAAAGTTGACAACATCCCATGATCACACTATTTATTATACAATACACTCTTTACACTTTAAACATAGGTAACTTCATCAATGCCCAAACTACGCCTGACCTGCATGAGAGCAACAAGCTCCTTTATACTTTCTTCAAGGATGACCACATTATTCAAAAGCATAGATAAGGTGATCTCTGTGCTCTTATCGTGTCGTTTCTTTGCCTTGGAAGGATCAATGCCTGCCTTGGGCGCAAACGTATGTTCATCTTCATCGTCAAGATCCAAGATTGGCTCTTCTCGTTCATCTACAAAATGGGAAGGAAACAGAGGCTGGATGCGCACAGAGGTTGTTTTTCGTATGTGAAGAGCCAATGGCGACATCGGATTATTCATCACTGCTGTCATATTGATTTGTGATCCATGACCGAGACGAGAGCCGACCATAGTGGATGAAGATGAAGAGGGACTAAGTGCTGGTGTCTCGGTCGAGGTCGGTCGCAGCACAGAAGGTCGTCGGTTGAATTGAGTTGATACATGGTTACTGCGCGACACGTTTGTTGTTGTCGAACTGGATGGAGACATGAGCTTTCGGTCTATAAAAGACACTTCTCCCGTGATCAACGCATTACGGCGCTCTTCCAATAGGGCATCAAAGGCTGGTATCTCTGATCGGTAATAGTCTATTTGCTGTGTCAGGGTGCGCAAGAGGGTAAAGAAAGGGGGATACGATTTGAAAAAGGTAGGTCGTGTCACCTTGGCAGATTCTCTTTCTGCACCAAAATCAATGCTTCGATCATCCTCTTCGTCATCCTCGTCCACAGGTGCTGTCGCCTCAAAGTGAGCATAAATATCTTGGCTGCGGATCTTGGGTTGACTGGCCGTAGCCTGTCCGTTTGGGTTCAGGATCAAGACATCATCCGGACTGGTCTGGTCGCTTTCGCTAAACGCAATCCATCCTTCCAGACTACGATAGGGACAAAGAGCGAGTGCGGTGATGACGCCTGTCAGTGCGAGATTGAGTTCTGCCGACTGCGTGAAGAAGTGACTGAGAAGGCTTAGAAGGATCTGCAGAAGTTGATCTGAAGGACGAATACGATGTCTAAAGAGTGGTTTGGCAGCTCTTGCCTGTCGTTTTCGCTCATCCTCTTCCTTCTTGAGATCTTCGTAGCGCTGTCCATACTTGAAACTTCTTCGTCGTTTGGTCTTAGGCGTTTCCTTTACGCCCGATCGAGAACGGTCGTTGTAAGGTTTTAGATGATGATAGCATCCGTCGTTGTCGATGATGGCTTCAATATCACGAAGGTAGCCTTCATACCCAGACGAGAGGATGTCCTTGGCGTGTGTCGAGTCGATGGCGATGATAAGTGAAAAATACAATTCGACCTCACGTAGGTGATGAGAGACAGTCGTCGCCTTTTTGTTGATATCAGGGTCGACAGAGAGTAGACGAAGAGCGTATCGACAATGGTTCATCACGAGCGTCTTTAGTAGTTTCAATGTCGCAATGACTGCTGTCTGCGAGTTGGATTGGAGTCGACTAAAGATGAGATCCTTTAATGTAAAATGAGTGATCTTGTTGATATCGAGGTGTCGCATGCTGGACCCTTCATCGTTCGTGTCTGGATCAAGCGGCTGGTGTTCCTCATCCATCAAAAAGCCAACAACAACTCTTGCGAGATCCTCCTGCTGAACGGTCTGAAGGATGAGGTCGATGTAGCTGATGACAGCCACAGAAGAACCATCAGTATCAGAGCATTCGAGAATGGAAGGATAAAGGATATTTTCTAAAAAGATCGTGCGTACGTTGTTTAACAACGAGGAACAAATGTCGGCATTAGGGCAACGTGTCAATACGTCCTGACAAAATTCGAGCAGTTTGAGAAACGAGTCAAGTTGAAACCTGAATTCGGGTGAATCGGAATATTCGACACTCATGCCCAAGGGAAACCGTATGCGCGATTGTGGTGGGGTATCGATCGAACACTCGCCTAATAAAAATGTGGTTGGATTAGAGCAGGTGGAATCGATCTCGTCTTGGACGATAAGTTTTCTAGGTAATTGAGAATACAATGCACCGAGTCCAGCGGCCATGATTGTTGCAAAATCGGAACCTAGAATGAAGTCTCCTAGCTGATCATTTGCCATTTCCATCAGGAACAGCAATCCTGTACGTGCAAAGTCACCCGATCGTCCTTCTCTATGTACAAATCGCAACAGATACGTAAATAGCAGAAACTCATATTCTGGTGCCTGTGGTTCTTGTTGTTGTTGTTGTTGTTCTGGCTGCTTTAAATGATTATCATAGTTATCTAATGGGTGATGATCTGTGTTCTTTTGTGGGGTTGTTAACCAATGTTTATCATGAAAGAAGATATTTAAAAGAGCAGGGAATCCATGGATTTTTGAACAAATGATATACATCAAGTCCACCAAGTCATCAGTGTATAGTTGACTCAGACGATCACTCAACACACAAAAGCGTAATAGCTTAATTGTTGGTTTATGGACTGCGTTGTGTACTAGGAACCTATCATCCAACAGATCAACCATGCTAGCGATAGTCCTGATTGCTTCCCCTCTGAATCCTATTGGATAATCTGCCTTTTCTGCTACATTGACAAGGTATTGAAGTATACCATTCTTTAAGAAATATTCCATACAGACACCTGCTGTATTATCCTCTTGTCGAGCCTCTTCGTCTACTAATAAATCTACCATTTGTCGTAGTTTGCTGGGTATCTCTGTTTGTTGAACATGTATATTTGCTTTTCTATCGTCCGTGACAAATATATTCTAATAACACAAAGCTTAATATAATTCCAAACCACATTCTTATTCATCTTACATGAATATACTCCCAACACTTGTGAAATTTGGCGAGCTGCATTGCGCTTGTTGGTTGTACCTTGGGAGGTGCAATACGTTTCTTGAACTTTGCAAAATAGTCCATATTAAACAACCCTGCAGCAGACACACAGTAAAAGAAGAAAAGAAGTAAAAAGAAGTACAAAAAAAAAGAAAAGTAATATATGAAAATAGGTTTTTGTGTAATGTTGATTATTTTGTATAGTTCTCTCTCTTTTTTCTCATTGCTTGTATTTAAACAAAGATGAAAAGAAAAAGACCTTTTGATTCTCTTTTTCTTGTTATTGTTATTGTCAATAATATACGCATATATTGACATAAAGAAGTAAGGGGGAATGGATATATGGTTGAATGTAATCACGTTATTGGCTGGATTGAATGACCGCATTACATTAATCAATGTAGAGCTACTACTTGCTTTTTTTTTCTCTTTCTTTTTCTTATTAAGAAACAATGGCCGATTATGAACAACAAGCAAATAATTTAATTAATGAAGCACAAAAGAAGCTCAACTCTTGGAAAATATTCTCGTTTTTTGGTCCCTCAAACAAATATGAAGAAGTAGCAGAGATTTATGAAAAGGCAGGCAACATGTATAAACTAGCTCAACAATGTAATGTACAATCTATTATTATCATATAAGCATAATTAAACCCCTAGATCAGGGCAAAAGGCAGGTGATGCTTTTACAGAGGCAGCCAAATTATTTCAACGTGGGAACTGTGCCAAGTTTGAAGGTTCAAGAGCATATGATAACGCGGCCAAAAGTTATAAGCGTATGGATGCCAAAGGTATGTAATCATTATGATAACTAAAAGGAGGTATTGATATTTTATAGCTGCTGTTGGTGCTTTGAAGGAGGCGATCATTTTAGATCAAGAGGGCGGCAATTTTCGGTCTGCGGCAAAGCACTATCAAGATATTGCAGAGTTATATGAAAGTGATATAGCAAGTCCACAAGATGCTTATGAAGCATATCAAAAAGCAGCAGATTTGTACAATGCAGATGATTCACCAGCGTAAGACTTGTCTTTGTAAACGATGACATCAAGGTTGACACACTATTTCTTTAGTTTAGCCAACAAATGCTTATTGAAAGTGGCTCAATTTGCAGCAGATTTGAAACTCTATCAGGTGGCTATTGAAAAATATGAACAAGTGGCCTCAGCAGCTGTAGATGATCCTTTACTTAAATGGTCTTTGAAAGACTACTTCTTCAGAGCCGGTCTTTGTCACTTGTTGACAGGTGTATGTATTGATGATTATATATAAAGAAAAAGTTACTTATGTTTTACAATATAGGATATGGTCAAGACAACTCAAGCATTAGCAAATTATTGTAATATGGATGTATCATTTGAGTCAACTAGAGAATATGGATTACTGAAAGGAATTATAGAATGTATCGATGAAGGGGATGTTGATCGATTCACACAGTTAGTATTTGACTATGATAAATTATCAAGATTAGATCCTTGGAAGACAGCTGTGTTATTGGAGATTAAAAAGACGATCGAAAGTGAAGATTTACGTTAAATAAGCACGCATATAATTTTGTCCTTCTTTCTTTTTCTCTTTCTTTTTTTATTATTACTATTATTATTAAACTACGGCATAACCATTTATAGTTTAAACTTTATATTTAAATAACAAAAGGGAAAACAAAGGACCTGTCATACCCTTTTTTTTTATTGATCAGGATGAAGTCTAGACTTGTGTTGAAGGCAACATTACATTATGTAGACATTGTCAAAAAGATCAATCCAACCTTTAGACATGAACTTGTTTATATACCAAAAAGAACATTGACAAACCCAAGAGAACCATCAAAGAATAATGGATATGACAACATAAATGATGATTATATTCTAAGAGTCAAGGAGATCATATCAAGTACAAAAGAAAGGTAAGAAAGACAATAGAGATAATAGAGACTGATATGAGCTTTTAGTTATGAAATACTAGAATTGATGGGTCAAGGAACATTTGGTCAAGTAGTTCAATGTAGGGAGTTATCTACAAATAATCTTGTAGCTGTTAAAGTCATCAAGAGACATCGTGCATTTACTGCTCAAGGAGAAAAGGAGATAAACACTTTAAAAATGGTAATATCAATTGGAGACAAAGAGAGGCTTGGCTCATAGTTTTCTATAGTTGAATGATCATTCGAGATACAAGGATAAATATCTACAATTACGTGATCATTTTGTCTTTAGAGGTCATATCTGTCTAGTATTCGAATTACTCTCTGTTAGTTTACATAAAATATTAAAACAAAAGCCCCGCTTGTCTATATTGGATATCAAATTGATCTCAGTACGAATACTAGAAACACTCGCTTTACTTGCAGATTTACATATTATTCATACTGACTTAAAGCCTGATAATATTCTACTCAAAAGGTAACCAGGGAAAACATGTGAAGTTCTGTATGCTAATAATTTGAATTAGTCCAGATGATTTACACGATGTAAAACTGATTGATTATGGATCAGCCTGCTTAGAGACGGACAGACCAACAAACTATCATATACAAACTGCATTCTATCGATCACCCGAGGTCATCATTAAGGCACCTTATAATTGTGCAGTTGATATGTGGTCCTTTGGATGCTTTGTTGCTGAACTTTATTTAGAAAAACCACTATTTCCAAGTGGAAATGAAATCATTTTATTACACATGATGGCAAAGACATTACAGTAAGTCATTCTTTTTTTTTTACGTCGTAATTTATTCACTCATATATCCAAAAGATCCTTACCACCAGATCATATGCTTCACAAGGGTGAAAAATCTCAAAAGTTTTTCCATATTAAAGGTACACAATCAGATGTGACAAAGCTGCGGGAAATAGGTGCACATGATATTTCAGCAACCTCCCTTGACGAAAGAATCACGGGCCATCCTCGATCAGATGATGATACTGAAGAAGGTATTTCCATCATATTTTGTACGTATGATACTGATTCTCTTTTTTTTTAGATCAGAAATGTTTACTTGATTTTCTAAAAAAGATACTAGTGTATGATCCAGACAAACGCTATACGCCCAGACAAGCATTACAGCATCCTTTCATCACAACAGACCCCGTCATTCATTCGTCCTCTTCTATTTCACGTACGACCGAAGAAAGCAGCGAGATTAAGACTCCTTCTCCTCCTCTTCATAAACCGGATGCAAAACCCTTAAAGTCTATACTAAAAAAAAAGAGCAGTAAAGATTTGAAAGTACCCCTTCCTCAACTAGATAATACCCTCGATAGCACTGTGGCTTTGATCTATCAACAACCAAGACCTACCTCTGGTTTCATAAACACATACCCCTTTCAGAGTCCTCAGCACCCCGCCATGGCATACTACACGCATTATTTTTCTCATTGAGAAACTGTGTAACATTTTTTCTTTCTTTCTGTTATTTTCTACAAATAATTCCCAATAAAATGATGCTCTCAGGAAGTAAAAGACCTACAATTCAGTCTAACAGCGTTAAAATTAAGAGGTAAAACCAAAGAGAAAAAGAAAGAAAATGCACTCGGAGTGAACTGATTCACTTTAAGCATTATTGGCACAGAACGACGATTAAAAGAAAAGGTTTGATGACACATACACACACAATGAGAGAAGTATATGTAGAAAAATAGCTGATATCACTAGTAGAGAGCAGAAAAGATCATGACAACATTCTATGAACAAGTCAACATCACACCAAATCCTGATGATCTTCCTTTGTTAGAATTAAAGCAAACTGAATTCAACAAATACTTGTTTGATCTTGACGACTTGGATCGAGATCAACAGTTACTCTGGGATTTAGCCAACGCGCTTTTTGAAAATCGACCTTTGGATTGGCTTCGAGATCTGGTCAAACCTGGACTAGAAGACACTCTTGGCCAATTCCGTAAACAGTACAAAAACGACTCATTCTCGACTGTCTTTGTCTATCTTACCTATGGACAGCGAGAAAGGGCCAGCGACGAAGCACGTAGAGCTGGCGATTTTAAGCTGTCAATGTACATTTCCCATTCAGCCACAAAGGACCTTCGCGCGATGATGAAGGAGCAGATCGAGATATTTCAAAAGACGCCAGGCGAGTGGTCAGAATACAGTGAGTTCAGGAAGAAATGTTGGTACGTGATCGCAGGCGAATTCGGCCTTGTCGAAACGAACCTTGTTGTAACAGAGGGTATATCTTGGCAGTGTGTTATCGGTATGTATCTCTGGTACTCACCGTCAGCAAATTTGGTCGAGTACAATGAAACAAGACGCGTTCCGGTGAACCCGAATCTGTCGCAGATGGCGACTCTGAAGCGCACGGCTGCTCCTGACAAGCAATGCCTGTGGTATCAGCTTCTTCAGTGGTGGCTCGGGGATCCTGATATGGCGCATCTGGACAGTTGGCCACTGGATTTACTCTTTTTGTTATCGGTGTATCTGCCTGATCGTATTCAGGACGATGTGTTTATTGAACAGTGGCGTAATGAGCTCGAAAAGATGGACAAGATCGAATGGGCACTGTTTGCTTCCCAATTTGGAAAGAAAGATAAGGCAGCAGATAGAGTCAAGTATATACTAAGAAATGGCGAATGGGAAGATCAAGACAAGCTGGTTCAGCAATTTCAAATACCAAAAAAATGGATCTATATTGCCAAGTCACTGAGGGCACATGATGACTGGGATTTTGAAGCAGAGTATGAGTGTCTGATTGAGGGGGAATTGCTTAATGAAGCCTTTATGGCGCTGCTACACTTTCTTTTGCCCAAGAACTTTTATTGTAACCGTTTTTTTTTTTTTCTTTTTGAAGAAATGATAATAACTCATCGTTACCATAGGCACACCCACGGCACTGCGAACAGGTTTAACTTACATCATGGAATACCCAGATCAAGATCGGCCCGACATACAACTGTTGAAGGAAGCATACATGTATTTGATCAATAAACAAGAGGAGAAAAAAGACGATTTACTTCAGAGATTACAAGAATATTCCAGTTTATTAGAAAGCTTTCCAAATGCACACCAATTGATTATCAAGTTAATAAACGCCATTCAAGATTAGTCTTCTTTTCTTAAATCCGTTATAGTCTGTTGTTTGAGTATTTCTGGTACGCTAATACAATGGCCACACCAGTGACCAAACCCTTATAAAAGGCAATAGCTGTAGGAGAGACCAAGAAATGTTCTGCCTCTTCAATTTTTGGTGCTGCTCTCCGTCGAAGATCAGCCAGCTCTGCCTTCAATTTCTCCATTTCTTCTTCAGCATGTCTAGACGCCCTTTCATATTGATCAGAGGCGTTATGAATACCTTTTTTCATCGTCTCTGCTGCGTCAGATACACCTCGATGCGCACTAGATGCAGCCTGGTCTACTTTTTCGTTAGTCTTGTCTTTATCTGCCATCCTTTTTTTGAGAAATATAAATAGCAAGAAAAAAATAATTGAAAATGCAGCTTTGGCTTGTTTTATTCTTGATTTACGTACATTAATTGGACATGTTTCTTAATGAGCATAATCTCTTTTGACAATCATATCAAATGTTTCAGGATTGCAAGCATATTCCTTTACAAATTCAGCTTCCATTTCATGCATACGCTTGCCGACAAGAACAAGCGAATGAAGAGGCCCACCAAAGTCAACATCAACCAATTCCTCAAGTGTGCCCGCAACGATCTTTTGAGTCTCTGTGCCGATACGTGCACACCCTATCGCCAGCGCATCGGGTTTGCAAACACCTTCTCCACGTTTTTCTTCAATTTCCAACAGTTGCTCCACAGCTTGGTTGACGGTCATATAACGAGGTGGTTCATAAATGAGACGGCCTCTAATGATGGTTGGGAAGGATAAGAGATCACAATCTTTCTGCGGTTGCTCCTCTTTTTTTTTAAAAAAAAATATTACCTTGCCATATTTTCAATACTTTGTTCCTTTACTTTGATATCCAATAAGCAGAGGGTGTGAAGTCCAAACTGATGGTTTTCTTTGATACGATCATAAAAGCTATCTGGACGCCACGTCTCTGTGAAAAAGACGATGGAAATGGTCTGTCCAAAATTATAAAGTTGAAGGCCACAAGCACCAACAGCGTTCATAATAGAGGCATTATGAATCACCTTGACGGGAATACCGAGTTCACGAGCACGAATGACCAAGTCGGTATGAGTCGTGGCGCCATAAGGATCACCCACAACCAAGAAAGAGACGTCAATTTTGTCTGCATTGGCAAGAATGGTGTCACTGTCTGACTCGACCATTTCACGATCGGCGACGATGACTTCTTTATCATAGTAAGCTTCCTATTGAAGAAAAAAAAAAGACGGATCAGCTCTTGTTGTAAGTTGTAAATTGTGTAATTACGAGTTTCTCTTTGCCAACAGTCAAGATAGAAGTATAAGCTTCTAAATAAACACGTTCGGATCTCTTGACGGCTTCTAATCCTTTGACAGTAATATCTGTCTCGTCAGACAGTCCAAGGCCAATAACATACAACATGAAGAAAAGAGGAACCAGATGTCACTTTAACCACTTAAAACTTGAACAAAAGTGACGGCTCATTTTCATTGGAAAAAAAAAAAAGCAGGTCTCTTGACAATAATTGCTCACAAAATCAGTACGAACTTGCCCCTATTCTGATATGGAGAAAAAAGTTTAATTGTAGACTTTTACGCATTTTCTAATAATTATGCCTATCATTAATATCAGCGACAACCTCACCATCCGTATCATTCCTGAATATGATAGTGAAGTTACCACTATTCGTTTTGCTAACGAAGCAGGCTTTGAAGAGTGGTTCAGCAATATGGCCCAAAAACATGCTAGCTGGGACCTTCGCCAAAGCTGGGCTAACGAGAAAGCGAAATCTTTTCTTGGCCAGTCTCTTGCAGCCCCTTTGAGATTGTATACTATCAAGTATCAATGTGATCATGCAGGAAAACCGAAGAAAAGAAAAGAAATCGAGGTAGATCGAGCAAAATGGTATCTCTTCCTCTTTTCCTCCTTCCCTTCGAGTCAATTATTACGACATTAGAGACATCATCAATGCTAGGTTGATGAAGTTGAGTAGAAGAGCTATTCTTGGGTAAGGATAGTTTCCAAATTTGGATGGAAGAGTTGGTCGAAAAAGGAGCAAAGACTTTGTTCAAGGTGCACGAAGATGGACCGTTTTTTGCTTCTTGGGCTGCTAAATGGCAAATGAAGGTAAAGTTTCTTGATGAAAAGCGCATCTATGTCAGCTAAATCTAAGCATAGCTATAGCATTTACAGGAAGCCGAAGAGTGGTGCATAGACTTGACACACAAAATATGCAAATCATTCAATGGACTAAAAAGAATGGCTACTTGTTCACTGTCGTTGTTAGAAGCTCTACCACTAGCAAAGGTCCTTCTGTTCGAGTCTTTGTCACCAATCATGAGATCATTCCCACCTTGCACCAGTGGCTAAGTTGGCTGAAAGACGTCTTTAGCCTTGACGTCAAAAGAACCATGGTCGATTGCAGTCCCACAGAAATTGCTGCTATAAGAAAAGTCTTTGATAATGTAAACATACTTTTATGTCATTGACATATGAAGTGTGCGTGAGAAACCCACATCAAGAGAGATGTAAGTTTTAAATATGGGTTTGATGCATGTTTAACATTATGTAACGCTTAGGTGAAAATAAGCAGGTCTACTCAAGATACAAAGCTGGTAAGAGATCGTGTTCGCGCTAATCTGAATAGCATGATGTACTCAGAAACATCAGAAGCATTTGATCTGGCTCATCAGCTATTCCTTGCGTACTTCAGCAGTTTGTGGCTTCCCAGAAAGGAGCTATGGTACAAAGCGTGGGGACAGATAATCATTAATACTTATTGTCCCAGTTTACTAAAAGCCAACTTTTTCTGTTTATATATAGAATGCTTCGTTCCACACTAACAATCTGATAGAATCGTATCATAACCAACTGAAGACGTTCTATCTTGGTCGCTCTCGCTCTTTGCCTGTGGATCGCCTAGTCTACTTGCTATCCCAAGTGGTAGTATTAGATTATTTGCAGGACACAATCAAACCTGCGCATGATTTTAGTGGGTTTCGCTTGACAGCCAACGAAGAAAAGAAGAGAAGGGCAGCATACTGCATTGATTACGACGTTACCTGTTCCATTAATGGATACTGATGAAGAGTTTAAGTGAGTCATAAAGACAATCAGTAGTGCAACAAAACTAAAATAACGTAAGAGCTTTAATCAAAGTTCAAAAGTGGCATGAAACGATATCAAACATCTGAATTGCTCATTTTACTCAAAGACATATATCATGAATTATATTCACCATTCTATTTCGTTTTTCTCTCTTTCACTATATAGATGAGATAAAGTCCCAATTTGTCCCATTCTGAGTTTAATATATCCCAATGTTTTAGTTGAAACTCGTTTCGTTTTTATTGGTCAATTGTTTATAATGGGGGGAATACAAAATGATTATAATGTACACGGAAGAAAGTATAAAATATATATGAACAAGGGGGGAGGGGTGAAGAAGGAGAGAAATAGAAGATAAGAAATAAAATTAGCATTGCTTCTTTGTCAGCCTTTGATGTTCGTCTTCATCATCACTGTCATCAGCCTTTCTCTTTCTTTGAATAGGCATGAAGGTTGTATCCTCTTCTAAAGGAGGAGAAGGTAAACTTTGACGAGCTCGTTCTAGTAAATCCTGGTGATACTTGTGTTGCTTCATCTGAGGCATAGGAGCAACAGGTTGAGGAGTAGGAGTGACTTTGAGGTGAGATTGAAGCATCAACATCCACTGATCAAATATGTCCTTCTTAACATGCAAGCGATAGTCTAATAGTTCCAGCATAACCTTTTCGGCGTGGTTAATTTCCTGGACGTTCAGTCCACTGACTTTACTCCAAGCAGAGTTTTTGTATGTTTTGTCTTGAAGATATTTATGTGCTGAGATAAGAGCAGCCAGGAACATGCGTCGACCGCAGGAGATGTAGGCGTCTTGGTGGGAAGATTGCTGTACTTTAGATCGGATTCTAAATAGATAAAAGATGGCTAGTTGAAGTGTAGAGTGAGTGGTGCGAGAATGTTTAAGGATATGGTGCAAAAAGGTGTGAAGATCGGCAATAGGCTTTTGATTGTTATTATTATTGGTGGAAGAATTAGGCCAAATAGAGGTTATAACCTGGATGGTCACATCTAATAATAAAATAAGGGACATGTTTATTAAATAAACAGCCGACTTACCAACAAGAGAACTAACATAGGACTTTTGCTGTTGTTTATTTGCTTGATTCATTGTCAGGATATTTGAATTAATTGCATTGTATTTATGAGGGGGCTGCGCAACCAAGGTGACTGCGGGAGTAACCATTGTGTGATGTGTCATGTTTTGCTTATTTTGGGATTTTTAACCAAGTTAAGATGTGATGTTGTTGCTGCTTAATAAGATGTTTATAGAATAAGCAGCAATGGATACAAGTTTAGTTTTCTTTTTTTTTCTGTTTCTAGGATTGTGTTGTTTAAATCTCTCGTCTTTTCTTCTGTTTCTTCTATTAGATTTATGTAGTAAAGAATAGAAGAAAAGTATTTAAACGACAATAATAATATAGTTCATGTTTGCAAATAAAAAGATAAAGTTCAAGTTAAAGGTTTAAGAAATAAGTTCAATAGTTAATAATTATTTGATTCTAGTTGTTTATGGTCGAAAGGCAATAATAATAATAATAATAAGTTAAAAAAAGAGAGAGAGAGGAAGAAAAGGAAAGAAAAGAAAAGAATAGACGCAAATGTGAGTGTGTGAGAGAGAGTCAGAGAAAAGAGAGATATTCTAAGAACACGCAGCCTTTTCTGGTAAAGGAACTATGACTCACTCTTTCTAAAATACATGGTTTTGATTGGATTTCATTTTTTGTCCAATGAAAATTTTTATAATCTTCTCTCTCTCTTTTATCATTCGTGATGACTAAATACAGCACACAGCGGGTCATGATGCTACTACGGAGTAAAGCTCGACTCCGGTCGTCTTTGTTTGTAGTAGTTGCCATAGCAGTTACTATGGATATTAATTATGCTTTTTTTTTCTTTAATGGATCGTTATCTTATTGGCAAAAGTAATCATCGCCCGCTTTACTCTCTTTATGGTATCTACTATTCCCACGATCATTTTCTTGTTACACTAACCCAGCGTCAGGAACAGAGAGAGAAAAAAAGTATTTTGAAAGTCACTTACGCAGGGTGGAGGATTGGGTAAGCTCTGTATCAGTATTTTTCAAGACATTGTAGAGATGATGTTTTGTAGTACAAATATAGATATTGACGATGGAGAAACAGTCTCTGATGCGAGCAGAAGAATGGCTATTATGAATGATTACGACAAAACGGAGTTTGGGCGAAAATTTTATCTTATTTCTATATTTATATAAAGAAAACTACACCCTTTGTCGTCAAATAAACAATGTACATTTCTTACATAATCCAAAGCCATCTTAAATGTAAAATAATAACTTATATTAAGCCCATAACACTGATTCATGGCATTACATTCGTCATTTTTGCTTAGATAGTCATTATTAAACTTGTAACTCTGTTTCAGCTCCTTTCATACACATATAGCAACTTGCATACGGAAGCTGTAGTCTTGCATGTAGTATTTTGCGATTGACTTTGCCTATTACTGTGATATCTCTTGTTTGAATGAAATAAAAGTAGACCTGTGTGATAAGATAAAATCAACAGAGAGAGAACAAGAGAGCGGTCATCTTTAGTTTCACTATTTTATTATCGTCATTTAAACGCATAATGTCGCTGACAAGGTATGAGTTTCTTCAGTTAAACACTGTTTTATATTCCATTATATTTGAGTCATGTTTAATCACTTTTGATATATATACAATTGTTTCTTTATAAAATGAGTGTTGCTTGAATAGTCAAAACACTGTTTCTATTTCATAAATAGTGGAACAAAGCTGCGGTCTCTTTTTCAGTTGCAACATCGTTTTGACTGCGCACGTCGGTTAAACATATGGATTTTTTTCCTAAAAAAAAAAAACGCTGCGAAACAGAGACAAAACTTGGGATTTATCAAGCTACACGCAAAATCCATCTCCAACTGTAGAATGCATAATGAGCTCATGTATGACACACGTGTTTAGGGGTTATTCAGAAGGAAAATTCCCTCATAAAGACCCTAGATAACAAAGTCTCTTTATTTTGCTTTATAAACCCTTGAGAACAGAAAAAATAGACACAAAATTGAGAATTAGACCATATCTTTTCTCAGTCCTTCTATATTCTACTGATACAGTAGTAATAGTTATTCTTGTTTAGAACAGTTTTAAACTTGTCGACCAAACAAAAGTGAAATAAAGGACAAGTCAAGTGACTGTCATATAAAATCATTCATCATCAGTTTTTTTTAAACTTCTCTTTTTCTCTCTTTTTTTTTTTTATTTTCATTTTTCACAAGACAATATGGAAGATAACAAAGCACCCGAAGCACCCAGTCCTTGTACTGCCGGATGTGGATTTTATGGCAACAAAATTTATAATAATATGTGTTCAAAATGTTTTAAAGAATTAGAAAAGAATAATAGTAAGCAATACCATTTATGACTCATATGGTTTGCATTAACTAACTTTTATACTTATAGAAGTCGAAATACCACAAGAGAATAAAGACGTGATAAATACAGTTCAACCTAGCCAACACCCCACAGAATCATCAACACCATTGTCGTCATCATCATCACCATCCTTACCACTAGAACAAAAGAACAAAGGACGATGCTTTTCTTGTCGCTCCAAGGTAATTAAATATAGCAACAATCAATATATTTTTTCCTTATCCTCTCAAATAGATTCCAATCTCCAAACAATTAACAAACAAGTGTCGATGTGAACTTGTATTTTGCGATACTCATCGTTTCCCAGATAAGCATGATTGTCAATATGATCATGCAAAGAAAGATAAAGGTATTATAAGATGAATATTTATTAATAGTCGACTGACGATCATACAACAATAGACATTTTAGCCAAGAATAATCCAAAAATAAACGAAAGACCACGCGGTGGTAACTCATTTCATCGTATTGATAGTCTTTAATAAAAAAATAAAAAAAAAGGATACGTCATCTTTAAACAATTTTGCTATCTTTCTTTTTTTTTCTGTCTATCTCCCTTTATGCCTGCTCACGTGAATCAAGGAGATTCCGTAGATCATGGGGTCAATAGAAAGAAAGAAATATAAACACTCCCTTTTTTTCCCTTTCTTTTTTTTTTTTTTTTCTTACTTTTAGTGTTCTTTATGAAAATGAATATAAATGATATGCTTCAACTCTCCTTTGAAAAATTAGAATCTTTTGACATGAATAAATCAAGCTTATCTTCATTTGTATTAATACGCAACTCAATAATTAATGAATTAACAAAAAAGGATGCCTTGATGGAAGAAGTAGAAGAGCAAGAAGTTTGGCTAGACAATTGTATACATGAACTAGAACAACATGATGAAGAAGATATAGAAGATGAAGATGATGACATGCCTCTATCCCCTCCTTATTACACGGGTGATGATGGTGGTCAAAATACATATTTAATAAAAGATCAACAACAGCAAGAACAACAAGAATCCTTTTATCAACCTTATTACAATATCCCATACTATTAAAACCATGCCGCATGCCAGTGTATATAATATACAAATATATATTTTATTTATTCAACATATATTTATTTAATGTAAATAAAAAACAAATAAACATCTTTTTCATTCTCTCTTTCTCTAATCAATAAGGTGATAAACGCCCTTCTTCACTTGTCCTTCTCCCTTTTCATAAGGAAGATCAAACACTGCATTACTACGGAATCTTCTCAAGAACTGAATAGCAACAGTTTCCAAGGAGGTGGGTTCAATATACAGATCAGCAAATGTAAGTGCACCGGGTGTGGGTTTATCATCCAATTTCATCTACATCAAAAATAAATATACATCATCTTTTACATAATAATTCTTACTCTCTCGATCAAGTCAGGGCTGACCATCTGGTTATAAGGCAACTTGTCGATAGCAGTGGCTACAAGTCTGCAGGACAAAAAATGTGTAAGTCATGGGATTCATTTAGGTTACTCTTGACTTACCTGAGGATGTTATCAGGCACATTACGGATAGGAATAGGCTTCATGGAGATTTCACGAGCGAGTTCGAAAATTTCCTTTACTTTGTATTCCTTGGGTCCATAGAGTTCATAGGTCTTACCCATAGTTGATTCAGCAGTCAACATGACTTCGAGGGCATGAGCAACATCAATAGCCTAATATTGCCATTTTAGAATCAAATCACGCCCCACCCCCTATAAACATGACTTACCGAAACAGGGCGAATCTTTGTGTTGCCTTGATTGACCCAGTATTGCCATCCTTCACCAGCTGAACAGAACAAAAATATAACGTGTTAGAATCATATCTATTTGTTCTATCTTGTTCTATTCCTTACCTCCGATTCTGTTCAAGAAACGATCTTCATGACCCCACATAGTACCAGGGCGAACGATAGTAGCATCAGGGATTACCTCTCGGACAGCCTTTTCGCCTAAAGCCTGCATAATGCAGTTAGCAATGACATAACATATTTATGCAAGATTACCTTGCTGCGAAGGAATTTGGAAGGTGAATCAGCAGATGCATTCAAAGCAGACACTTGAACAAAACGAGCAACACCATTTTCGGCAGCAGCTTCAGCTAATGCACGAGCACCATCCACATGAACATGTTCAAACGTAAAGTTCCTATTACGCAAGTTAATCATCATCCCTTTCTTTTTTTTATCCCTTGCTTACTTTGTTTCATAGTCACGACCAACCAAGTTGTAGACAATGTCAGAGTGACGAACACACTCTGCCAATTGTTCCTTGTTTCTCAAATCAAATTCTAAGGGAATAACTTGACCTAAATCGCCACATACTTTAAGATGTCTAACTTCATCAGGATCACGATAAGCAACAACGACTTGAGTGCCTTGTTGAGCTGTTTATGTTGTATAATTAACATCTTCTGTATATATATTTTTATATTGTTATTGTTACCAAGTCTGTTTACAACATAACGACCCAAGAAACCGGTACAACCAAAAACGGTGGCGATATGTCCGTTTGTGGAAGATCTAATGGTTGTTTAAACGTGTATGAGTTTTTCTTATTGTTGCTGCATTCTTTCTCGCTCTCATTTTACCTTCCACCGAGACCGTATCTGATCATGGGTTGACCTGTCTTCTTTCTAAAAGTTAAATCGTGCAAGGAACGCTATAAAATAAACATGGCGATTTAATTGTCTCTCTTTTTGTAAGATGTCTCTATATTTACAGTTTGACTGACAGCTGCTACTTTGGCAGCGACATTAGAACGTCCAATATCTAATTATACAATGTCAATCACATAAAATAACCAATCCAATCTTTAAAATCTTTGTTTACGTTTTAATGCAACTGGAGAAAGCATTGTAAGAAGAGAAGGGAATGTTTAATTAAAGAAAAGAAAAAAGGGGGGATTTCTATTTGTTTATGGAAGTTAGACCAGTATGGATGATTGCAAAAAAATTAATCTAGCCCCCGACCAGTAAATTTGGGACGGTGACGACATCATCGGCTCTCTAATTTTTTATTCTTGAGCTGTCTGACTCTTTCTCCTCAGTTCAGCAACACCAGGAAAGAGGCGGTTATCATTATTGTTCTTTTGAGCGCCCTCAGCCAAACCAGCCAGACCGACCATTTCGCCCTTGGACATTTTTTTGAGATCGACACCTTGACCGCCATCCTTGAGAGGAGCATATCGACGTAGTGCATTGAGTTCCTCCATGAGAGTTTCATGTCGATAATCAATACGAATATTTGGCACGTTCGTCTTGCTCATATCATTTCCTTGGATACCAGGTAGATGGTAGGTTTTACCAATCCAATGACGTTTGACTTTACTTTCCCAACCGCACTGAAGCACCGAGTTGCGCGCCAGTTCGCACATATCTGCCGCTGAGAATTTCCATATTTGAGCAGCCACACTGTATTCTTCGATTAACGGCTCACGTGTAAAGTGAAATTGAAGCGGGTCATCTGTCGATAGCGACACATTGAGGCCGCGTTGAAAGAATTGAGGGAGTGGATTTCGCTCGTAGGACAAGAAGAGTGCGTTGTTTGAGAGAGGGGACATGGCGATACCAATCTGGGAGAGATAATAAAGATATTGGAGTGCTGGAACCTTGCGGAGGAGGATGCCGTGACTAATGCCATGCGCTGTGAGGAACGCAGCAGCTAGATGGTCTGTGTCGCCTGCTTCACCACAATGTGGTCGAAACACAAACGTGTTAAATCCACGCTCTTGTCTCCAATGGTTGAGGGAAGCCAGATTTGCATAGAGATAGTAGAGATAGTAGTTGTAGGGTGGGTTTTGGCTTGACTTCCATTCGTTAGGAACAGGGTATTCAGAGAGATGCATTCTTTCTACCCTGGATTCATCGTCAACGGAGTCAAAGCCAACCACTCGCTGAAGAAATACGTACAGTTCAGGATGCGAGCTTGGATCCTTGGTGACTTCAAAGAGTGGTTCAAATATATCTATTTACAGCCATTAATAAGAAACACGGCTGCAATTTTTCATTAGTACTTTTTAGCATGTCTCCAAAGCTATCGACAAGTCCAGTCGATTTATAAACATTGTATAACCTTGGGACTTGAATCAACCAGCGTACGTTAGTAGAAAAGAGTTTGTTGTTAACAATCCATTTGGCTAACTTATCCCATTCATGCACGGATCTAATACGAGGATTAGAAAAAATAGGAGCCTAAAGATTTTTTTGACATACCGTCCATAGATGGATATTCTGTATTCACACATCTGATACTTGGAGGACTCGAGATCAGAGATGACCTCCTTTGTAATCTCGGCCAGATACCTTCCTTGAATATAATTATCTGTTTTTAAAAACACCTCTCGAAGTCTACTCTCGCCAATAGGATTATACTTCAAGTTGAACTTGTCAAATCTATGGAATGAATCCTTATGAGCATGCATATCTAAAGTGTCTATACTGAGATCATAGGTTGTCAGCCCCAGGCTATCAAAGACACCTTGCAGCGTCAAGTGCTCACTGTCACGATAAATGACGACATCCTAATATTTAAAAAAGGAAATAAGCTCTATTGTTCTTTTTTTTTTTGACAAAAAGTTCTTACGTCAGGCGATTTCTTCATCTTGGCTTTAATAAAGCGTAAAAGATGCTTTTGATTCATACAGCTGGAATGATGAACGTGTGTGTCTACCTTTCTGACATTATAAAAGTCTCTGTGCGGCACACGCTTAGAATCTGTCAGTTCCTGAAACTCGTTCAGGAGAGTGTACATTTGCCATTTGGAGTCCAAATAACGAAGACGTCTAAAGGCAAAGCTTTTGACAGGCCCATTGCTAAAAGAATACGTAAATAACACACATGCAACTTTGAGAACAATGAAATATATCACCTGATCGTATTGAGAATAAAGTCAAGATCATCATAAAATTCCTTGCAAGTAATTATGTCATAAGCGGCCTGATGATTCTCCTTGTCTGTATCTGACTTGTATACTTCATAAAATCCATCTGTCCCTACATCAAAGACATACTACACCAAAAAAAGAACAATGATCAGCATTTGATCTCGCATTGTAACAAAAGCGACATTACTGGATGATCATCGGGTATTTCCACATGATTCATATCAAAATCACTTCCTACAGCTGATATCGGATCAGCCTCCAATGCTTTTTCTCTCTCTTTGACTTTAGCCAATATTTCAGGTGGAGGTGTTGGCCATGACGGAGGTGGTGGTGGCGGATAAATTTCCCAGTCATCTCTGTTCTTTGGATTATCTTGTTCCCTCTGCAATGACCGTTCTTGATACTTTTCTCTCATCTCCAGACACTTTTGGAACATGTTGTATAACTCCCGAAGTTCTGCAGTAATACCTTCGTCTATACAGTACATATTGTTCAACCTCAATGCATCTGGCGCCACTT